TGTCGGTGTAAGATCAGTATTTCTGGCAAAGAGATTGCACGCCGTATAGCAGTTAAAATCACACTGAGTTGCTGCCTCAGCAAGAAATGGCGAATAATCAATCTGTTAGACGACATCTGGATGCTTTTACCCGAGGTCGAATCATTGGGAAGTTGGAGGAAGGCCGCAGTGTGACAAGTGTGGCTGCAGAGTTCGGAATTGCTCACAGCATTGTTTCACGACTTTGGAGATAATTTCAAACTACAGGAACAACTATCCGGGGGTTTAGAAGTGGTCGTCCACGAGGAACCACACCCGCAGATGACTGGTATATTGCCTTACAGGCCAGAAGAAACAGGCGGCAGACAGCGGGAGAAATCGCTAGACACACGACACAGGCGACTGGACGACCGATATCGCATTTTACCGCAGCCAGAAGACTGCACGGTGGTGGTCTGTTTGCACGACGCCCTGTACGGTGTGTACCTCTAACGCCTGCCCATCGGAGAAGGCGTTCTCTGTGGTGCCGGGAACACCGGAATTGGAGAGACAATAAATGGGGACGAGTACTCTTTACAGATGAGAGCAGATTCAGTCTGAGTAGCGATTCTCATCGCATACTCATCTGGAGAGAGCGTGGAAGCAGCAAACATCCCTCGAACATCATTGAAAGGGACAGGTATGGAGGTGGCGGTGTTCTCGTCGGGGAGGCATCATGTTTGGTAGTCGTACAGACCTTCACATCTTCGACGCAGGTTCAGTCAACGAGACCCGTTATTGTAATGAGATTCTTCTTACATATGTGCGTCTTTTTAGAGGCGCTATGGGTCCGCAGTTCCTTTTCATGGACGACAATGCACCATGTCATCGCACAGTAGCTGCTGAACAGCTCTTAGAGAGTGAGGATATTGAATGTATGGATTGGCCGGCACGATCTCCGGATCTCAATCCCATCGAGCATGTATGGGATTTTCTAGGAAGACGCTTGGCAGCTCGTACCTTACCGCCAGTAACGATTCCAGAGCTTCGATTGGCGCTGCAAGACGAATGGGCAGCAATGCCTCAACAACTCATTAACAGCCTCATTCTCAGCATGGGCAGACGCTGTGAAACCTGCCTAGCAGTCAGGGAGATCATATCCCCTATTAGACCGGATGTTTCTTGCTGGACACCCATCACAGGGATATTTCGGCCTTCAGTTGCATTGTGCTCCATGCTACTTTTTCAATAAAGCTTCTTTTTATACCTCTGATTTCTCTTTTAGTAAGTGTTGCTTTACATTACTCATGTCCTTACGTATTGGGGATCTTACGGTATTAAATGTGTTGATTTGGAAAGCTTTTGTACAAAGTTATATTGAAAAAACCATCTCGTCCTTAATTTTTGCACACCAGTATATATGGATGTGTACATGGATAAAGTCAAGAGAGTGCGCAATGCCATTTTTGTGCAATTCGGGGATTTTTTTTAAGTGAAAATAGGTCGATGTGTACATGGATACCGAGTTTGTGCAATTCTTTTGTCTTGTTATTTTGGCTTTGTGTAGCAGCGATGTTTGGCACAAAAATCACCGTTATGGAAGCCAAAATAATAGGTCAAAGAATTGCACAAATTTGGTATCCATACACCACCAAAAATCACCAAGTTTCACCACGGGGTACCCTAAAGTATACTTTTACCAAGTGTTTTTTGAAGTAAAGAAGTTAATCCAGTCTTCTGATTTATGGGAAATTACTACAACAAAATTCTTAAGAAGTCACTCTATACTTCTATTAATTCCTAAAATCTGTAATGCAAAAATACTAAGAAAAATAAAATAAATTAGAACAGAAAGTTAAGTGTTGACGCATCATAGTAGGATTGCTTTCGAAGTCAAATATTACTTTTAACTACATGTGATGTTTATTTTAAAAACTATATTTAATGATTTCCTAACAAAACTTCAATCAGAGTACTGAAAACAGAGGTTTAGATATACCTGAAAAGATAATACACATAGCTTGTGTAATAGAGATGTATGCTTTTTAAGGATGTCATTCAATACCTAGTAAGATTCTTATTATATAGTCCCACATCTGGTCTGGCATTGTGATATATGTTTATGCACACATGACTGGGAATTGGTGTCCTAACAGACCAATGAACAGTGAGGCAGGCTAATGGTTCCTTCGTTCTCTCACGCGATCTAAAACTACATACACACATTCACTGAAATCTGCCATCCATGGCATCCAACAACAATGACTGACGGCATTGTGTGTGGACTCCTGATATCAGCAACTTGATCCTCCAACTGCTATGACAACTAACCACATCACCCATGAATTCCAATATTAACAACTCGATCTTTCAACTACAAAAATCTCCAAATATACATCAAATCAACTAAAGTAAATGCTACCAGTAAGTATTTTTAGATGTTAGAAAAACAAATCACACTTTCTACTGTTAAAATATAACAATTTAATTTTTGAGTATAATTAATAAAATTTTCTAAATTTAATATTTTCAGAATCCTTCCAAATGGTGGGCAAGAAAGAAGTTTTAAATTTAATGATGATATAGCAAAAGAATTTCCTTTTACAATGCAGACAAAAATTTATTCTAATATTCACTTCATTAGTGCCATTAAGTATTTTCAATCACTTATGGTGGATAAAAGCCACATTACGTGGCATAATGAGTTAAAAAATATAAGAAGGCAAATCAAGCAACAGCATCTTTCCATAGCCCCTTGCAATATTTTTGCAAAAATGAATTTAATGAGAAGGAATGATGGTTTGAGCTGACTGAAGCAGCATTTTCACTTGACACAGTCACATACAATCTATTGTTTAGATGTATTGATTATACATCAAAATCAATCAAAGTATTTTTGGGGAACAAATTTAGTTCTGCATGGACAAAAACTGAAGCAATAGTTCAAAATGTTACAAAACTCTTAACAAACTCTGGAAATGAAATTAGAGAACGCTTTATTTCTAACCAATGCTTCTTAGATATTTTTACCACAAAAAATGTGTTCAAGTTAAAAGTGCTAGATTTAATTACTCTACCTGAAGAAAGACTGGAAATAATCACCAAATCCCCCCTATTACTGATATGATGGGTTAAAACAATTTGATGATAAGTCGGTGGGCTATTGTGCAGACAATGTCAATTCAAATTCTGAAGTCCTTAATAGAAAAAGAACAAATATCTTTTCCAGATTGAATAATCAATTAAATCGTCCAATAATTGGAGTATGCTGTGCAGCACACATAATCCACAATGCAATTCAAACTGCATCAAATTTGCTTCCTGCAGATATTGAAGGAATAATTGGCAAAATGTATACCTTCTTTTATGTTTACACAGTTCAAATAGAAAATCTGGTGGAATTTTGAGTTGACATAGAGGTAGAATACAAGCGATTACTACAGATATCCAAAACAAGATGTTAGCTCTACTACCTGCAGTTGGAAGAGTGTTATAACTGTTTAATCCTTTAAAATCATATTTCCTTTCTCACCAATAAGTGCCTGATAGTTTTAAATAATTTATTTTCAAATGAACAAGTTGAACTTTGGCTTAAGGTCCAACAAATACAAGCATTAGTGTTTCATAATCCAATAAAAAAATGGAAGGAAAGAAAAGAACAAATTTTGGAATAAATCAATAATTTTTAATTTAAAGGAAGAATCAATTCTCCATATCTACCACCAAGTTTAAACACTAATTTAAGCAATCTAATAGTAAATGGAAACAGAGACCAACAATGGTTTAGAAACCAAATTATAAATTTCAATATGAATATTGTTTCTTATCGAGAATTATGGAACAAACGATTTGAGGAAATTACTTATTTTAAATAGATTAATTTCAAATGTCCAATAGGCTGGTTCACAATATGAGAAACAATAGCTTTCATGAAAAAATATTTGCCCGAGAATTAATATACTACACTGGTAAATGAATTATTTGATGAAATATCATATTTGAAAAGATATGTAAACTTTGAAAAACTTCAACAGAATAATGAAGAAGAACCCCGATAAGTGTTGGATTGAAATTTTAAATTTTTCAATGAAAATCATATTCCTCGTGTGCATTTTACAGAAGCTATAGAATTTACACTTTGTTTACCGGTACCATTAAAGCTATTGAAAGGGTGTTTTCAATTAAACAAATAATTTGTGAATAGCAGAAAACTTACATTGAACGTTGATACCATGAAGGCAATGATTATAAGTAACTGCAAGTTTAAAAACAATACTTCTGAAAAATTCAAAGAACAAATTGGGAATAATAAAGAATTGAAAAGATTCATACTTTAAATACTTTTTTTTGGGCTGTATTTGTACATTGTTTTCATTTATTTACATTTTTTTTCATTATTTTTTAGGGTGCTGATAAGGGTCAATATTCTGGACTAGACCACAGAAAAAACGGTCACCCTAGTCACGAGTGCTGTTACACAATTATTCTATTCAGAATTAATTATCATTTTCTGCTTTCAAATTTTTAGCTAAAACAGGAACTCTTGCTTTTCCATACACCTATTATCTGACATTACACCATACAACTTAACAATTTCATGAGCTAGAATACTGACTAAAACATACTATAGAGAAAAAGAAATATATATATAGAGAAAATCTATAGAGAAAAAGTGGAAAATGCAATATTGATCAAACTGAGCAACATTTTAAAGAACAAGCTCCAAACATTTGTGCTAGTGTTAGAAGTGTTTTACTGTAAATGGCTGTTAATATGAAGGTGAGTATGCTTCAGATTTACAACATTATTATGCTAGAACCTAGGAATCAAATCTTGAATCCTTCAGATATTAAGTAGAAGCACTCTAAGCAATCCAAAACCTTGTAGCTTGTATTAAAATATGCTCAAGTGGATCAGAGAAATACCAAGCTAAAAACATTAACCGTCTACTAGTCAGCTATAAGTTACTAATTAAACTTCATTGCAAAACTTAATTAGGACTTTATTTAACTAGAATTACAGTAGACTGCTTCCTTACTTACATTCTGGTACGAATCATCACCAATAAACTGATCATAAACAAATCGTTCCACAAGACTAGTTTTCCCAGAGTACTCCTTTCCAAGTAGTACAATTTTAACATCGACTTTGCTCATTTTCCTTTGTTTTATCTGCAAATAAAAATTACTCTTTTTGAAAAAATTAACCATACAATAAATAGAGGTCTCAAGTATGAATAATAATTTACTTTTTTCTTTAATTGCATATAAAATTTGCCATAAGCAATTTTTGCTACTTTCTCAGCTGTTACTGGCAGAGACATTGCAGCAAATTTATCACATTTGAAAACCACTTTGTAAAATAGTGGAATTTTTAAGTTTAAAGGAAATACTGAGCTCATAGGATAAATAACTATTTTGAATAATACTTTCAGCTAAAAAAGAGAATGATGACAGTTATGCGTGCAGCATTTTTCATATCACTCATCTTCTCTCTTAATTCGTCTAAAACTTTCCAGAATATTAGCCTTAGGATTTTAATTAAAGCTTGATTTGCTTTTATTCTTGTAACTTAATGATGAACATTTGGCACTATCACATTATCAGCCCAACCTTGAAAAGAATCACTCATCAAAACGCTATATCGCCAGAGAACTAACATCCCAGATTTTATGAAACATATTTATCTGGCAAGTGGTAGCCTTGCCCATAATGCTGGTACTTATCTCCATTGGTGGCACAGTCAAATACCCAAAATCCATTGACCTGAAATCTGCCAACTCCTGAAATCCGCGTTACCTCTCAAAATATAAACATTCAATTTATAGGTTCCAGAAACTGCAAAATGGAGAATGAAATACCAAAGAAAAAATACTTACCAAATAATGATGTCATAATTACCGAATAATAATGAGTAATAATGGAAATATCAAATTATTGACATCATGCTAAAAGTTTTTTCTTCTCCAATCTACATCGAGGTAAAAAAAGCAGATTATTCACTCAACTCTTCTTTCAAATTCCCGATTCCCTTTGTTGTATTTTTTTGCTTTGTTATTTCACAAGATTGTTTAACGCAGACTTTTTTTTTATCTGGATATTTTGTGGATATATTAAGAATATTTTAAATTTCAGCTCTTTTTAATACGACAGATAAAAAAAAAACACATTCATGATTTTACTGCTTGTAATGCTGAAAAACATAAACATGTTGCATTGACGGTAATGCAAAAAGTGGAAATTCTGCAAAAGATGGAGGCAGGTACTACTCCTCGGTTTATAGCAGACATAGAATTGTGACACGGACCGTGTATGATATACAGAAAAATAAAGAAAAGCCGCTGAAATTTTACAGCAACACTGATTTTAACACCAGAAATCTTTGCATGAGGCGAAATTGGCTAACCTCGATGCTGTCTTGTATGAGCAGCAGAGTGATGGTGTACCAATTTCAGGACAGCTCCTGAGAGAAAAAGGAAAGCAGATTCATGCTGATTTAAAAATAGAGGAGCCGTGCGATTTCAGCAGCGGTTGGTTGAACAGATTTTATTAGAGATATGGTATACATTATCTGAAAGCATGTGGCGAAAAATATTCAGCAGATAAAGATGCTGTAGAGGAGTTTATTGAGAAAATCTTAGCCCAGAATAGGTTTTTAATACAGAGACTGGACTTTTTTGGCAATGTTTGCCAAGAAAGTGCACCATCAGGGGTGAAAGATGATTAAAAAAAAAAAAAAAAAGAGTTACTATTCTAGTATGCAGCTGAAACTTATAAATGTAAACCAGTGGCAGTGGGTAAGAGCACCAATCCCAGAGCTCTGAAAAGAATAAAATCCTTATCTGTGATTTACAAGAATAATAAAAATTCCTGGTTCACAAAACAACTTATGACCAAATGGTTCATGAAGCATTTCATTAAAGAGGCTAGAAGCCATTGTAACAGTGTGGGGTTACCATCAAATTGCAAAATTTTACTATTTTTAATCAATTGCTATGCACATCCAGATGCAACCATATTAACATGTAATAATGTCATGGTCCTTTTTTTTCCCCTAAATACTACATCATTAAAGCAACCAATGGACCAGGGCATAATACATAGTATTAAATGCCACTATAAATCAGTTTCTGAAAAAAATTCTTTCAAATGACCATTCTATTTCACTTTGTGATTATATTAAAAAAAAAAAAAAAAATCACCATCAAAAGCTGCATTTTTTGTTAGCTGAATCATGGAATTCGATTTCCCAAACAACATTATTAAATTATTGACGTAATGTGTGGCCATCTTCTCTGCTTATTGAAAGTGAGAGTGATGACAGTGAATTTTCTAGTTTTAAGGTCAGTGCAGCAAGGTTTAAAGTAAGAGAATTGCTTTTACATTCAAAAGAAAGAATGAATGAGGAGGTTTTACAAGAAGATATCGCTGAATGGATGATGTGTTCAGATGAGTCAACACTAGCATATCAGATGACCTGTTTTGAACTCGGCACAGCAAGAAAAACGATTCCGACACTGGCACAAATAGTAAATTTGATAGAAATGAGAAAATATCTTTTAATGAGGGTTTAGAACTTGGTGAAAATACTTAAAATTTTTAGAACAATAGAGCTGTGTCACAGAGCAAGAAATAATGACTCTATATAATTTACAAAGAAAAAGCTTACTCTGGAGCACCCTAAAGTTTCAAAACAAACCTCTGTCAGAAAAATGTTTGAAACATGTAAAAAAAATGAAATATTTCATGCTTTATTAATATTCCTTTTTTGATATGTCTTTATTGTATACATCCTTAATGCTTTTAAATATCCCTGTAATCACTAATATAAATGAATAATACAATACAATATATATGTATAATAATTTAACACATCTAATAATGTAATAATGTATATAATAGTTTAATTAAATGCATCTAATATGCTTTATTTATTTTGCACTTTTAGTCTGAATGTTATGATTTATCTTTTCTGTCTTGAAATCCACAGAATTCTAAAATCTGCACAACCTCTGGTCCCAAGCTTTGTGTATTTCTGGACTTCTACTGTAGTAATTCACATCGTTTTGAAATTTGAGGGTCAGGTATCTGCTTTCTGTTTGTCATGATTAGTTTGTACGAATGTTTTCCCCTTATAATAAATCATAATGCCACTGTGTGCCTGCTACTGAAAAAGAAATTGTTTAATTTTTTTCAAAAATGTGGCTTTTTGCCTGATAGTAGAGAATGCAGGAATGTGCATCCTCAATATTAATTTGTGCAATTCTCTCTATTATTATTAAAAAAAAAAATTTTTTTTTAAGTAAAAAAAAGTTGATGTGTACATAGAGAGAAATTTGCTTTGCAATGCTCAGAATTCTGAAACACTTTTTAATTTAAGTTAAACAGATTGTGCACATGTGCAGAAGACCAAAAAAATGTAGTGTTTTATTGTGGGTGTTTGTTGCATTTTTAATTTAGTTCATTTGTTACTGCATAATGAAATTTTGAGTGTATCTTTATAGATGTTTGTTTTATGTAATTTTTACTGTTTTGTTATTGATATTTTATGAATTTTTAATCTCATTAATTTGTCAGTGTTTTACGTAATTTTCAGCATGCTGTCATACTTTTAAAATGGCTACTTTTTTCACACGTTTAGGTTAGCAAAAAATTAGTTGACTTTGCAGAAGGGTTGGATATATGACACAAGATTATTGAATTCTTTTTTTTAATCCCTAATTAATTAAACTTTCCAACTATTTTTTTAAATGCATATCTCAGAATTTAAGACTTGTTAACAACAGTTTCAGTAATCTCTTTTAAATAAATCTAGAAAGATTAAATTTAAAAATCTGAATTTAAATTTAATAAAATTTACAAGGTAACAGGACAATTAACAATTACAAGATTTTTAAAATTAATACTGAACCTTTGATTATGGAAATCAAGCATAAAAAAAGTAATTTTTTCCCATGAGTTAAAAATGTATGCATTAGCTGCTTACTCAGACAGCAATAAAGAATACTCTATTACATGCTCACTAACATAAACCGGCTGATCTTTGGAATATGGTAACAGGTAGTTTGGCGACATTTTGGAGGCGATAAAGGTTACTACCTAGGACTTTGGGAATAATGTGAGAAGTTTTCAGTTCCAATTACGCATTATTTTGTGTGAGGGAAATGAGAGATACGAGATATGTCATGGTGACATTATGGACCAATCACCGTTCTTTAATCGGAAAAGGGGTATAATAGTAAAAATATCTGCTGTACTTATAGGAGTAGTTTCATTCTATGTTCTGTGAAACAGTGCTGTTTAATATTCGGATCCCAAGGCCATATATAAAGTAAATACGAAATTTTTATTATGTTTATGTGTAATTGAAAAAAGAATGGCTTAATGTGGATACGTATGAATTCCAATATGTGGAATGAAATGAGGTGTGAAAGGAAGAAATTACAGATAGTTTGAATGGCGGTGCAAGACCAGGTGAAAATGGACATTAGTATTTTAATTATCAGGTATATTTTTATGCATTGTTCTAATGTAAGGAGTATATAAATTATATGGTATTATTGGAAAATTGTTATTAGCACTGATTTAGTTTAAAGTAATTAGGATTGTAAGCTAATTTTATTAATTTAATGTATGTGCTTATTTATATTTTAAGTAGTGTTTTTTAATTTAATGATCGTGATTTGAGAGTTATATGTTTGTAGTATTTTGGAATACGTTTGAGTAGAAGTAATGTGCATGGAAAGAATTAAGTATTGACACTAAGTATTGTAATCATTTTTTAAAGTTTTTTATAATTCATTGGTGACGTTATAATAGATCATTTAGAGGTAAGTTTTGGATATTTTATTTATTTTATACGTGCAAATGTCCATCCTGGAAAGGGTATATACTTTTTCGCGACAGGTAATTCATATATGTCCTTTTACCGAATTTAAAGATTCACAAAATTTTCATGCATTTTCGTGAAATTCTTCTAATTTCTGAGAAAAAAGCAGTGTACATGGATATAGTGAACAGTGTGCGCAATCATTTTTGTGCAATTCTGGGATGTTTTTTTAAGTAAAATAAGTCGACGTGTACATGGTTAGTTATATTTTATTTAAATGATAGTTATTTGTGAATTTTATGTTGTAGGAATTTGGTATACGTTTCGTTGAAGTAAAGGTACGGAAATAATTTAAATATTTGACACTAAGTATTGTAACCATTTTTAATGTTTGCGTATAAATTCGTTGGTGACTTTATAATAATAGATAATTTAGAGGTAAAGCTTTGGATATTTATTTTTTTTATACGTGGAAATGTTCATTCTTGAAAGGTATACTTTTTCGCGATCAGGTAAGTTCATATATGTGCTTTTTACCGAGTTTAAAGATTAAGAAAATTGTCCTGCATTTTCATGCAATTTTGTAATTATGAGAAAATAGCAGTGTAGATGGATAAGTTAAGAGTGTGTGCAATGCCATTTTTGTGCAATTCTGGGAATTTTTTTAAGTAAAAATAAGTCGACGTTTAAATGGTTTATGTGTACGTGCTATTCTGAAAACGCGCAAGGAGTTTGCGATTGTGCACTTTTTCCCAATTTTGACAGTTATACTTGTCATTATTAAGCAGTTTTGGTTACATAAAATTTCTAGCATAAGTGTATTTGGAAAAAGTGTTGAGTAAATAAAAAGAAAAGAAACATGTCTTTACTTCATGAAGACAAAATGGCGGTGGGGAAAAAAAAATAGAGGGTTGCTGTAGCAGAGTTGGTCGCCAAAAAATCGCCAAGTTACCATAATCCAAAGATCAACCCATAAACCTAAAGAACTTCATTCACTTGCTAAGCTTTCCTTTGTTACTGTTCCTTTGTCCAGTAAAAATCATGTATATAATACACAAAAATCATTTGGTTGATCTTTACAATATGATAACTGGTAGTTCGGCGACATTTTAGAGGCAATAAAGGTTACTACCTGGGACTTTGGTAATAATGTGAGCAGTACTCAGTTCCGATTACGCATTATTTTGCGTGAGGGAAATGAGAGATCTGGGATATGTCATGTGATATTAATGGACATTACGGTTCTTTAATCGGAAAAGGGGAAATCGGGAAAATTGTGGAATTTTGTATTTAGCTTTATTCTGTGTTGTGTGAACAGTGTTGTTTAATTTTTTGATCCCATGGCCCTAACTAAAGGATTCGAAATGAGTATTTAGGCATTGTGATAAAGAGAAGTTTGCTTTTTATTTAGCGGAGGAAGTATGGAGGAAAAATTCGCAGAAAAATCTTCAATAATTTATTGAATGAATTAGAAAGTGTATCCGCCACGTAATCAAGATTCTGAAGAAGATTAGGTAAGTTAGTATTTTTATTATTTGAGGATATTATTTTTATGCATTGTTCTAAATGTAAGGTGGAAAGGAATTTGGTATTATTGGGAAAATGTTATTAGCAATGATTTAGTTTAAAGTAATTAGGATTGTAAGGTAATTTTTTTAATTTAATGTATGTGCTCATTTATATTTTAAGTAGTGTTTTTGAATTAATTATATTTAAATGAAATGATAGTTATTTTGTGAATTTATGTTTGTAGGAATTTGGTATAACGTTTAAGTTGAAATAAACGTGCATGGAATAATTTAAATATTTTATACTAAGTATTTGTAATGCTTGCGGTATAATTCGTTGGTGACGTGTATAATGCAATAGATGATTTAGAGGTAAAAGTTTTTGGATATTTTATTTATTTTATATGTGGAAATGTTCATATTTGTAAATGGTAACTACTTTTTCGCGATCAGGTATTTCATCATATTGTTCTTTTTACCGGGTTTAAAGATTGAGAAAATTGTCATGTATTTCGTGAAATTTTCTAATTTATGAGAAAAAAGCAGTGTACATGGATATAGTGAAGAGTGTGCAGAATGCCATTTTTGTGCAATTCTGGGATGTTTTTTTAAGTAAAAATAAGTCGACGTGTACATGGTTTAGTGATATTAATTAAATGATAGTTATTTTGTGAATTTTATGTTTGTAGGAATTTGGTATAACGTTTAAGTTGAAATAAACGTGCATGGAAATAATTTAAATATTTGATACTAAGTATTTGTAATGCTTGTGGTATGAATTCGCTGGTGACGTGTATAATGTAATAGATGATTTAGAGGTAAAAGTTTTGGATATTTTATTTATTTTCTATGTGGAATGTTCATATTTGTAAAGGGTAAATACTTTTCGCGATCAGGTAATTTCATATATGTTCTTTTTACCGGGTTTAAAGATTGAGAAAATTGTCATGTATTTCGTGAAATTTTTTCTAATTTATGAGAAAAAGCAGTGTACATGGATATAGTGAAGAGTGTGCGCAATGCCATTTTGTGGCAATTCTGGGATGTTTTTTTAGTAAAATAAGTCGGCGTGTACATGGTTTATGTGTATGTGTTATTTTGAAAACACGTAAGGAGTATGGTATGTGCACTTTTTTCCCAATTTTGCAGTGAATATTTGTCATGATTAAGCAGTTTTGTTTGATAAAATTTCTAGCATAAGTGTAATTCGGCTAGTAGATTGTTGGAAGAAGTGTTCAGTAGTTGAAAAGAAACATGTCTTTACTTCGTGAAGAGAAAATAGCGGCGGGGAAAAAAAATAGAGGGTTGCTGTAGGAGAGTTGGTTGCCAAATTTTCGCCAAGTTACCATAATGTAAAGATCAACCAATCATTTTGCCATTCTACTTCAGTTCGAGTCCTCAAGATAATCAACAAGAAAAATTTAGTTGACACAATATGTGACCAAAATGTGCAGAAATCCTTTACAAAGACGCATATATTAATTTAAAGTTACTGCTACCGCATGGAAACATTCTCACTCACTTTGCACGCATAACAGAAATGCTTAAAATATATATATAAAGAAGGTGTTTATTTTTATATATATACATAAAAAGGCTTTAGTTAGATGGTTGCAGACTTTAGGCTTTAGTTAGATGGTTATAAACATGATATAATTCTCTTAAAGAGCTCAATTTCTTTGAAAAGAAATAAAATTCTGCCTTATTCCAACACGATATAATTCTAAAGAGCTCAATTAAAAAAAAAAAAAACTCAATTAAAAAAAAAAAAAAAAAAAAAAACTGCTTTATTCCAAAAAGTATACATCGGTGAAAAATAACATGAATGATAGTTAGGTCTGAAAAAGCAAATCGTGTAAAACGACTCGTGGAAGAAGATAATTATAAAACTTTACAATGACTACTTACATATCCATTAAATATACTTCACTCAATATGCAATACACAAGGAGTTTCACGTATTGCTCGCACAGACTTACTACGAATGCGATATCGTTTACGTACTAAAAAAGTGTAATTATATTTAATTATTCATTCTTCTATTTTGATAACGCATCTGGAAAAAATTTGTAATTAAGAACTTGAAAGCTAGAATTTTAAGAAGTAACTTGAAATACAAAACAATTATTGTCATTTACCGTTAACTGTCATCAAAGCAAATCATAATGGGATATATAAACAGTCTTTTAATCCAACATTATTCTTAGTAATCATTACACACTTCCGTGCTATTGTGCTTCTCCATCGACTTATTACAAAACAACAAAGTGAAAATAAAAGTTGTTTATAAATAAACCAAAGGGCTAAAGGTTCTGTGACAAATGATGCAAAAACGAGGCTCGTACGCAACCCACTGCTTCAAGAAATATTTTTAACACAAATTTAAAAAAAAAAAAGAAACAAAAATGTAAAACATAAGCAAATTGCATTGGAAAATATGCAGAATTAAAAAAAACCATCATAATAAGAGGGAATTAAGCATTTTCTTAAGAATATCCAAGACAGTTATATATATATATCTCGGGTCAGGACTAAGTTCGTGCGCATTAAAAGTATGCGTGGAATTCACTATGACGCATTTACTAAAACAATACAATTTTGAACCTGTTGAAACTTGTCATGGTTTGACTAATATATTATTCAGTTCATCAGCAACTTTCGTAAATATCGAACGCATTTTGTACCTATAGAAGATGAATATAGATAATCAGTACAAACGTGCTGTGTTACATTTTTTTTTATTTTCGTGTGGTAAATCTGTCACGTTTGCTGTGATAAAAGTTAATAGTGTATACGGTGAACATACTATTAGTGTAAGGACCTGCCCAGAAATGGTTTAAATAATTTAAAGTTGGAAAAAGCAGCATTGATAATGAACCCCATTCAGGTACGTTTTGAACTGTTAGAACCAAATCAAACGACTAATTCAGAAGTTTATAGCGAACAACGTTGCCGTCTGAACTCAGAATGGATCAAAAAACCGTCCACAATTGGTGAATATCAAGAAAGTGTTGTTTATCATGATAACGCTAGACAGCATACAGCTCGAACAACGCTGCAAAAAATTAGTGAATTTAATTGGGAGCTTTTGCCACATGCTGCTTACTCCCCAGATATCACCCTGAGTGATTTTCACTTATTTCGGGCCTTACAATTTTTTTTACTGGGAAAAAATTAAATTCTAAACAGGATGTACACAATGAAGTTTTTTTTTTGCATCAAAACCAGAGTCTTCTACAGCCTTGGCATAAAAAAGCTGCCTGTAAGATGGCGAGGCATAGTAGATAATGGAGGAAAATATATAATTGATTAAAATATTAAATTGTGTTTTTTTATATTGTTTAAAAATTTACCAAAAAATGCGCACGAATTTATGGACTGACCCAATATACTTGTATATATATATTTAACAAACATTCTCTGTTTGTAAAAAGCAAATAAAAGTTAATGAAATTTAATTGCAAACAAATAAATGATTAATTATTGCTGCAAACTAATCTACAATATCATGTAAATCCTGAGAGCATATGTAAATCAAGTGCAAGTATCAAAATCCATGAATAAATATATAATTCCAAAAAAATTTTTTAATTCTAAAAAATTTTAAAAAGTGAATAATTGTTGAGCAGGCAGGAGACAGACTTATCAAGAGGAAGTTGTCTGCAAACCTCTCTCTTCAATTATTCAATTCGTGTTTCGTCATCCATGTATGCAAGGGTAAAAGTAAAATTCAAAACCAAAAGTAAAACCAAATGCCGTGAATTACTACAAAGAAATTTAAACAAGGGGAATTTCGAGAAATTAGCAAGTAAATGACTAGAATTACAATAAAAAAAACAAAAGAGTAGAAAACCAAATTTTTTAGAAAACCAAAGTAATTTAAAAACTCTTGCCTACAGAAAACATCCCCGACACGAATTATGCATATAAATAAAAAAGAAACTATATACTATCTATAAAAATATATAAATAATACTAAAACAATAAAACTAAAAAGGCAAGCAAATAGTAAGTTTTAATTTAACTTACCTACTATATTTGTATTTTTAGAGTGGAGCAGCATTTGTCAAACTAAGTGATGTTAAGTAGTGTGTTTCTGCTAACTTTATAAATAGAGGGCGCTAATATAAGGTTGAGTTTTAAGTTGATTGTGTTAGATCTATTTTGTAAACCTATTCTGTAAACTTTTAAGTAATGTAAAATGCGTGTTCTGTTGCAAAATGTTGCTAACTGTGAAGCATTGTAAAAATGTGTAAAAATGCTAACTGTAACGTTATGTGAAAAAATGTTTGCAAACTATTAAGGATTGTAAAAAGTCGAAAATGTTTTTGAAATAAAGCACAATTTTTTTTTTTAATTTTGAAAAATTAAAAATTTTTTAAATAAAAATAAAAATTTATTGTAATAGTCTTAATTAAAACTGAATTTCAACAGATTTAATCAAAACTTTACAAAACTGGCGAAAAGTAAGGAAAATTAGAAAAAGATAAAAGTCTTCACTCAATTTGGGCTATAATTGAGACTTTTGAAAAGAGTTGGCTCTTCATTAGTAAAAGGAAGAATCCAGTATGTTTAAATATACATTTTATAAATTAATATTTACAATAAATATTTACAAGATAATCCCTTAACTCTTCAAAATCTTTCATTACCCTCCAGTTAAGGTTTAAGGTAATGTTATACCATAAAGAGTCAAAAAATTATTAAAAAAAGTTAATGCCTGCCTTTTTAATATATAAATTAATAAATTGTGTTGGGACTTGGTTATTTAACTTGAACATTAATTAGCTTTATTATTTCTTCCTTTAAACCTTCTATTTCAGTACATATATTTTTTATTTTGATTATTTGGCTATAAAAAGTGTTACCTATTACTTTTCTAAAGATATTAAAGTTCCAATTAATTAGTTTAATAGTATTAAACTGGGAATTCCTCCTTTTATCATATAATTTAACTTTGCTGTGTTTAATTATGAGCCGGTCTAGGTATTCAATAGTATCTTGATTAGTTAAGTGTTAAACTATTTGGGTAAATTTTGAATTGTTCAAAAGCAGAATTATTGAAAGTTATAATATAATCAATGTATCTAAATGTATTTGCAAATAACTTTAATTCATTCTTATTAAAACTTAGTTGGATTTTATATTCATAAGCAAAAAGAAATAGGTTACAAATATGTGTAGAACTGTTTGCTCCCATTGGTATTCCTCTCACCTGCTAAAAGATCTTATTATTCAATTTAATGTAGTTATTAAATAATGCACAATTCAGGTAAGTTTTCCATCTTTCCATTCATAGGATGTTAAGCATGTCAAGAAAAAGTTGTGGGAGTTGCATTAAACTAGTAGAAATTTCTTCTAATGGTAAAGAAGTACTCAGGTTTTCAAAGTCATAGGAGTTAATGTTTTTAATTTCTAAACTTTTAAATTTGTTGAGAACTGGAGTATTATTATAAATAATCCAACTTTAGTTGTGTTGCTTGTTAACTAGTTGATGAATTAAAATACAGATTTTAATTGCAAATATGTAATCTGCATTCTTTTTATAATTATTTGTACCATTTGCTATAAATCTAAATTTGAGGGATGATTTATGGAATTTAGGAAGAGCATATAGATTTGCTATCTATTGTAGTTAGATGTTTGTGAAATTTGTAGTTTCTTATGAATTGCTTTTAGCTTTTTTGCAGTGACATTTTCTTGTGTATTGGTAAGTTTGTAAGTAATGACATTATTCAGTTCAGTATTAATTAGTGAGACATAAAAAAATTTTCAAATAATGCTGAAATTATTACTGGCTTTGTCCATTTTGGTTATTACAAATTTTTCTTTCAAATCTTGCAACAGAGGGTTGAGAAAATTCCATGGTAAATTGCTGTTAAATTCAATCCTTCGAATTCTTTGCTTCAAGTTCTTCTAACACTTTATGTTTCCATAAATATAGAATATGGAATATTTAATTTGTAACTAGTTTTTAACTATGAACTCGTCTGGATTTTTTTCGAAACTTTTAAAACTATGATTTTTGCCAATTTTCAGTACTTGTCTAAATTTGGTGCCTTTTTCCATTAAATTTCTTAAAAGCTGGTTTTGAACTATTGTTAAATTGCCAGTAACAATATGTTTATGAAATTCGTCTACATAGTCTTTGTATTGAAGCTCTTTGCAGTATCAATGGGCTGTAGAAGCTAGATCATGGTGGTTAATTAGCAATTTGCTAAGAGGTTTTTGATGAGATTTGTTCTTTAGTAGCTGGAAATTGTTGTTCACATTTTTTGAAAATTTTGCTGAACTGAATATTGTCATAATTTGGATGTAGGAAGTTTATTTTCAGTAATATTTATTGTACTTGTTATTTGTTATTGGTAGAGAATTTAAAACCGAAAAAATCTATAACAAGGTCTTTGATAATATTGTCTCCGGTAAAATGCTGTTTAACAAATTTTATAAGTATCATTAAGAAATTTTGCTTACAAGTATGCAACCAAGTAATGATATTTTTGATGAAATTTTCAGTAAGAAAGTAATTATTAATATTATAGTTTAACATTACTGTATCTATTGTTGGAAAAAATGTTATTTTTCTGTCTATTACCTGCTCCGGTTCCTCGCAATATTTTTTTACTGAATAATTTAAATGGCTGTAAGTTGGAATTTCAGAATTTAATTTAATGTGTTGGTTGAATGTATTTAGTCCATATGGGTAAAGTGTTTTGAATTTAAGCATGTAGAGTGACTCTTGAAATAATCTTTCTTTGTATTCAGGCACAATGTCCAGAATTTGAATACTAATTTTGCTGAAATGTGTGTGTGTAATAGATCTTGTAGTAGAACGCAGGCGGTTGAACCCATAATGAACATGGAGAATTTTGATGTCACAGAATGCTGAAACTCCGATCTACAATAAATAAGAAATTCGGCTGTCAAGGTATATTTATTTCCTCTTTTATTTCAGTAAACATATTGCGGCCACAATCAAGTTGGCACATTAATTTTGCCTATTCCAAAAAATATACATTTTAGATAAATGTGCAGGCAGACTGCAGCGCAGTTACGCCAAAGCGTAGAAAGCAAGGGCGTTACTGAATTAGTTTTGGTTCTCAGTGCATTTTGATTAGATAGTTAATACTGCTATAAAATTACTGTTGACTGTTTGAGTTTTAGTTGCATTTACATAATCAGAATTATGTAAGAATTATATGACATGGATTAATCTCGATATGACGCAATGAAAATAAAGGTTACTAATTTAAGAAAAGAGAAGGGAAATTAATTTACGCTGCCAAT